CTATTTCACCCCAGCATCCTGTGGTAGGAGGATCTCTCGCAGCATTGTCTCATTTACATAATACATATGGTTTATCATGGGGAGTTTCTTCTTGGATTCTTAGAAAACGTGGCTTGACAAGATCTTGACTTGATTAGTCATTCCACAGTCTTGTCTTCAGTTCATTATTATTTTATTATATTGAATAATTCCTGCATTGTTTCATTGCTATAGAAATTGTAAGCTTGGTAACACTTTCTATGATGCCTATGTCTATAATGCATTATAAACATACTCGTACGGTTAGTATGCTTATAGCACTGTATGATTATAGTTATACATATACTCAAATATCTATAAGGCTTCAACTACAACCTCACAGTATTTTATATCGACTTATAAAGGTGAAGTATCACACTACATCATCTTAATATTTCTATAATGCATTTTATCGCCGTTATAATGACTTGTTTTGGGATTATAAGTAACTGAGTGGTGATTGTTTGCTTTAAGAAGATTCATTTTACAGCATTTGGTGTGTTCTTTAATGATATTTTTCACTTTACTTACAGCAATAAATTGTTCCCATCATAATCCGTTATACAAATATCAATGCAGTACAACTATGACAATTCTGATACAATATGCTCCCTGCAAAAAAAAAAAAAAAAAAAAAAAAAAAAAAAAAAAAAAAAAAAAAAAACAAAAATCAGTGAGTGACCAGCAATTATATTATGATGCTTGACCGTATAAGTCATTATGCAATGCTTTATAATATGTTCTAATTATATTGTGAAGAATTAATATTTTATGACAACAATCATACAGTGATTGCAATGCATTAGAAGCATGTTTATAATGCATTTCAGACATAGGTATCATAAAAAGTGTTACTGTAAGTTTCTCTATAGCTGCATGGAGACAATGATGGAGACATTAGGTGCAAACAAAGGCTGTGCCGCATTACTGAATATTAAAAACAAGTCACATACGTAATATGTTCCTTTTTTCTGTTAAGACAATACTACCACCAATAGTTGAAACTCTAACTGTAAAACTTTATGAACAAACTCCTGATTTAAACAGAGTTCCTGAGGTCAGCCCAAGTTTACTAGTCCGGTCAATTTCAGCCTTGGATGCCGCTCAAACATTTTTTTTTGCTTCCTTCTCTACAACATTGAACTTATCTTCATCACGTGTGAAAGTAATCTTTGGGCAAGCTTTATGCCGACCCAATTAATAAAATGGATGGATTAAAATTACAAGAGGCAGATGAATCAGAGAAATCAAGTCAAGTGTTCTGACCTCTCGCTCTTCAAACAAGAAGCCCTGCATTTGACAGATAGGATGGCTTAATCCATTTTCTAGAGGGGGGGGACTTAGAATTTGTAACTGGTTAATATAAAGTCATAAAAAATGTATTAGATGTGTTGAGTCATGTGTCCTAAATTACAGTCACAGTTTAAAATCTGTGGTCATGATTATAATCCACTTTTTAAAATTCTCCCCACGGAGCAGCTGAACTTTGTAACCTGTTCGTTCCCTCACTGTTAGACAATCGGGCATCTAAATTTAGAGTGTGTTCAGGTCTGTTGCGTTGTGTGTATGACTGATGGTGACAGCTGAAGCACAGAGGTGTCAAGACCGTCCACAACAGCCTGGAAAAGCACAAGTAGGAAAAAAGCTTGAACTCTCCTCCAGATCTCCGCTCGCCTACAGGGCCTCCAATGCGGCCCAGCGGCAAGGTGACTTTTAAAGCATGCCAGTAATGTCCTTCTTTGACTAAGTCCATTAATGAGGCTAAAGAGAGACCTGAACGTTGAGGTTGATTGATGACAGCGAAACTTCCCTGCTAACCTCATACCTTTGTTGACCCTCAAGCAAGGTGACAGGGAAATGAATGCTGCCCTTTACGAAGGGTATTTCAGAAATGTGATCCAGTCCTTTTAATAACTCTTATTAACTATCGAGGAACTGGAAGATGCCTTTTTTCCCCCCCCCACTTATTTTTAATCCCTGTATTGTAGCTCTTTCCTTTTCAGTCAGAGCATATGCATTCATCACTTCAAACTCAATAATCAGGTCTGCTTTAAATATATTGCATCACCATCACAAGCATAAGACTCAGACTTATTGCTGTATTTTCACTTTGAAATGAGTTGTGATGACACACGCAAGTCTTTGCAAAAACTCGTTGCCGTAATAAGCAGCATTCCCAATGCTCCCGACTTTCATTTGGTCCAATTTAGGAGATGCGTGGTGCCACAAGCTACAAAAATCCTTGCAGAACTTCCTGCAGACTTGCGCAACAGGACGGGTAAATAATGAAGCATGTCAACAGAGCACTGCTCACTGGGGCTGTAACCCGAGTGCAGCATCAACTGTTGTTTTCCCCATTCGTTCTGAAAGAAGCATCCTGATGAAATAAAATGAGAACTGCCCACAAAACCAAAGAACAACTCATTAGAATGGGAGGCCTGCAAAATCTGCTGGACTCATTCTAACGGCCTGTCCATGCCGGGCTGTATCTGGTGAGAGAAAGTTCAACAAACCCGAGATGTGGGCAGCCTTGAGCCATGACATGGCGGTGCAATTGAAAGAATCAGCCTGCGTGGTCATAGGTCTCTTCCTGATAAGCCAGCTGAATTCTTAGCACTGTGCAGCTCGGCGAGGGGACCCAGCAGGACACCGCAGCCTGAGAAAGCTCTCGATTGCCAGGCCCCGTTCTCATGGTGTGGTGTTTGGGCCGTAGGACACCGGGGGCTTATCAAGAATTAACCTTCACACAGCATTGCTCCTATATGTAAAATAATTTATGTGAGAGTTTCATCAGCGTGACAGGTGTTTGAGAAACGTCTGGGGTCTGTGAAGTCGAGCGATCCCAAGCTGTGTCTGAGATGGAACTGACACGCTCATCTCTCTGCAAGATTAGAGACCCACTCGCATGCTTCAAATACAAAGCAGGTGGTCCCTTACCTGCCACATTAGAGACAAGATCAGACATGGTAATGAAAATGGATTAAACTAATGTGGCCCCTAAGCAAAGTTTTCAGGTCTAGCTTGGGGGACGACCCGACAGTGAGCCGATACTGTAGCAATGAGCGCTGCAGGTCATTATCGCTGTCTGCTTGTAAGTAAAAAAACATTAAACTCATTTTTTATCAAGACATCCAGCAGGTAAGGCTAATATGACAGGAGGTGTGAAATTGAACTAAATAACTATACTGTCATTGAACCATATGGCCATACCCAGAAACTGGCCTACAGGATCTTCTCCAAAAAAAACAAAACCATTATGAAAACAATGTTGCGTTATTATTAACTGGAACATTGCGTTGCCATTCATTCATTACGCAGTTATTTTATTTAAAAGTTCAACCCTTACTTCAGTCCGGTCTGTTTATCAGGTTAAAACCAGAACTCACAGCAATTTAAAAAAAAAAAAAAACACAAGAACCAAAAACATGAACATAATTTGTGAGACTGCATGCGCAGTCTATTGCGTTACAGAGTCTATTTACTTTTGGAGATTAGAGTAGGCACAAAGTCAACTGAGGGACACAAGTTTAGTATATTCAGGTCACTGTGAGTAGAGGTCATTTAAGTAGAAATGCATTGAAAATGTGTGTCAGTGTTCACTTTAAGCAAATATTCAGCCTTTAATTTCCTGTAAATATTCACCGTATTATTTTGGTGCTAAAAGCAACCCAGAATAAACAGGCCCCAATGGTTGCTGATTGACTAATTAGCAAAATGGAAGTTCATTAATTAATTAATTTTAACTTTAACACAAGTAACTAGGACAATAACCTAAAAATGGCAAAAAGAAAATTCTGAAATATAAAGTGTATACATACAAAACTTCAGGTACTTAACAGTGCAAGAAATGTTTCAATCACAAAAGTTATCATCTGGAGGATTGTGGTTCATGCACAGCTCTCAAGGACCTTACATTATCTATCAGAACTTTCCTCTTTGGTTAGTGCATTACTGGCACAAACATACGACTCCATTAGGAAGATGCATCATGGAAACATTTCTAGTCTGGTCATAGCATCTTGGGAGTCATAGTTTGATACCATCAACCATAATTCATACTTTGGCAACTGCACAAACAACGTTATTGGAATTTGTGCTTGACATAAACCCATATTATTAAATGCACTAGTCCAAACACACACACACACACACACACACACACACACACACACACACAAAGTCAGCTACTTAAGACTTACACCCTAATAATTAATTTGTATGGAGGCCAAATCGAGGCTGAAAGGGGGGGGGGGGGGGACGTGCAGCATATGAGTGCAGCACAAAGTCAATGACTGTGTGAGGTTATTTGTGTCGCAGAGCCTTTCACTCTGCGACAAATACAAATTTTTAAATACACATTTTAGGACAACTGATGCCTCGATAACAACCGGACACAGTGACAAGGAAAATGCATCATGATGAGGGCCAAGGCCTGCGGAAAGCAAAGGCCGTTGTGATGCTGGACCACAGCGATGCACCGGTCGGCTCCACGCAGCCGCGAACACAACAGGCGAGAGGATCAGACAGCGTTTCAGCCCGAAGCACCACCTCACGACGCAACGTGGACGTCACCCGACTGCGAAACACATGCACTACCCTCCAACTGTCAAACGTAGGAAGTGGAGAAACGGCTCGCCTTCTTCGGCAACTTGTCAAATAAAAATGGTAGCGGTTCATTAATTGTACATAAACTGAACATCCTCTCAGCGCGTGTCATTCGGCGGGCGGGGGGCGTAAAGCGGGAGGACGGCAAGCTGCTGTGCGTGAGAGGGATACGCAGCTCAAGGCGACCTCCAATCGCACTTGATGTCAACGCAGAGGACGACTGTCTGGTGTGTTGCAAACATCGCGTTTAATCTGTTAGTTGTGCATGTTTATTTCAAGACACGGATGTCGACGTAAACCTGGCGCCTGCCCGCTTCGCCGGGGACTGATTTGGGCGTAAATATGTACACACAAGCGCCGTTAAAGCCGCGTTTTACCTCCTCTTGAAGTCCTTCTCGTACGGTTTGAGATTGGGATCCATTTGGAGAAGGCAGCTGAAGTCAGGAATTGAAACATTATCCTCTCGGTCTGCCATGGTTTCTCCAGACGAAACCAATCGAGCACCGACTGCTGCTGGTCGGACGCACTGACAGTGTAGCACCGGGGCAGGCACGCACGCACTGTGCGCCTCTTTATACTATCCGGACACAACAGCGCATCATGCTGCTTTGTGCCAAGCCCGTCCCATCACAACATGCTGTGTTCTCCAGCGGGTCAGACGTGAGGGAAAGCCGAGTCGTGCGGTGCCGTGACACAGTGTAACTTTAAGATGACAGCAGAGGAAGCAGCAGCGTCAGAGGAAGATGACTCGGATTTGTATGCAGACGTGCAGCTTTGGCTGTTTGTATGCTTGACTTTGTGGTTGTAAAAAAAAAATAAAAAATCCACCTGCTGAAAAACATACAAATGCATCGAAATGTAGGCCTCAATGTCTCTGCTGCTCAATAGATGAACTCAAAATTAAGATAGAATGATCTGTCTGTTATCTCCACCAATACTGACCGTATTATCAGTGCATTTTGTATTAATATTCATTGTCATAAAGGATGATTCCTAAGGATTTTGGTGACCCCATGATCTTTATTTTAGCAACACTGTCAGGTCAGACTAACATGAAGGATGTATACCAACAACCAATGCTGGAAGAACCAGTAAATATTTAACTTGAGTAAAAGAAGTACTACAGTATATAAATACTCTTACAAGTAAAAGCCCTACATTCAAAATTGTAAACGTATTAGCATCAGGATATACGTGAAGCACCAATAGTAAAGCTACTCATTATGCACAATAGCCCATTTCAGAAAAATGTATTTTATATTATTGGATTTGAATTAGTATTGATTTAATATGACAGCTGATAAAGGTGGAGCTTATAGTTTCATTACTTTATATACTGTTGGGTATTGAATTTGCTCCGGGGATCAAAAAGTATCATCGTGCTAACCTTAAATAGTACATAATAATGTTTGTTGATTATACTTTCTAATATTAATCTGAGTCTGCAAAGAAACTAGTAATTTAAATTCTCAAATAAATGTAATGGAGTAAAGATATCCGCCTTTGAAATTTAAAGTAGACTTATAAAGTAGCAAAAAATTGTACTGACAGAACTTGAGTAAATATACTCTGTTTCTTTCCACCACTGACAACTACTACTGGCCACGCTTCCATAGATTTTCCATGAAAACTTAATCGGAGAAAACTGCATTGATTTAATTAGCTTGTTATTCAGTAAAAAAAAAAAAAAAAAAGAGGACATGAACTGAGACGGACGTCATCGAGCAAGATCCCATTGATTTGGGCCAAGTTAAATATGAGCAAAGTTTGTTTAACCTCAAACTCCCTGGCACACAAAAGCACCAGTGTGTGTGTGTGTGTGTGTGTGTGTGTGGTGACTTATTTCCTTTTAATCTGCATGTCTTTCTAAAATGCTTTGATCTTGTTGTCTGTGGCCTCAATATGTTCTGCCACAAACTACTTCAGCGAAGTGGCAGAAGTAACTTAATGGACTCGAGAAGGATAACCTTGCTTTAATTTCGATTAAATCCCTCTTGGAAAAAGGCTGATAAATATGCACACTGACTGAAGAAATAGTGCGGCTCGTGAAAGTGTTGTCCTTGTCGCAAAATAAAACTGTCCCATCTAAAAGTCACAAGGGGAGTGTCGTTCTAAAGAGCCATCTGTTGGTAATAGAGGAAACAAGTGTGTTACTGTCCATCCCAGAAGGTTATGCCAATAAATGTTGTCTCTGGGATTCACGGCTAAATAACAAATATTTACAGGGGTATGTGGAAAGACACAGTAGGCAACCCAATGACAACAGCTGACACAAACATTAGATTTTATCTGAAGGGTGTTAACTTGATGAGCAGAAGGAAGCGCTTGATTGATTTTAGGCTGTCTGTAAGCAATACGGCAATATGAGCAGCCGCTGCAACTTACATTACCTAGGCAATCTGTCTGATTCAGTTAAATGATTTCCTCAGCTGTAATGGACGACACGGAAATGTTTTACACCTAAAATTGCAATCGCAAAGAAATATTTGTTTTCCCACCAGATGTGGGATTTCCTTGTTTACCTGCTTTTAGCAGCAACAAAAAGCGAAAACGAGTCACCTGTTGCAGATTATCAGTCCGTCCTTAAACGTTAAGATCACTCTGAAAAGACTCTGAGCTAAAATATTTCTCTCAAATATTTCTTTTTATAAAATTGATTGTTATGAGTCAATCTAGAGCCAAATAACACTTGACAGATCCTTCTACACTAAGTGACTGCAGAGTCTAAACTATAGTCTGACAGCAGCTTTAGAAACCCGCACCAACCTTGCTGTAACTTACAACAAATTCCATGGAGTAGACAAAATGGTGAAATTAAATGAATATCACAATTAGAAACACTGCTACAGAGATGGATTGTATGAGGTTGAATGCAACATTTGTCAGCTATAAAAGAAGTCAGGAAGTTTGATCTTGATGTGATTTTCCAAAGCAGAGCAAGTCAGCTAACAGAGCTCCAAACGGTTAACACTGAAAAATGATTCAACATGTCGACAGGAACAGAAATAATATGACAGAAAATATATGAGACTTTTGGAGGACATTATGAATTGACAAGATATTTTTGCTTGGTATGTGTCCTACTGTTTGTTTTCTGTGGGTCTGCTTGACTTTTGTCAACCACAGGATATGTGCTGTCCCATCTCTAAATAACATCCGTTCAGATATTGACACAATTTCATTCAATCAACCTTAGAAGCCTAGAAGACATTATACAACATCTGAAGTCATCCTCCTGCTGCTTGGATATTCTACCAACACACTTTAAAAAAACATTTCAAACTGCATGACCACTGATCTTTTACAAATTGTAAACACATCCCTTCTCTCAGGTGTCTTTCCACAAGCCTTTCCACAACATTGCAGTTATTAAACCACTCATAAAGAAGGCTAATTTAGACTCCACAACAATGAAAAATTATAGGCCAATATCAAAACTCCCATTTTTAAGTAAAACAGTTGAAAAAGCGTTTTTTCAACAGCTGAACAACTTCTTGGCCGTAAATAACTGTTTTGACGTCTTCCAGTCACAGTTTCAGCACCACAGTACTGAAACTGCTCTTGTTAAGGTTTTCAACGACATCCACTTAATCACAGACAATGGCAGAATTTCAGTCTTAGTATTACTGGATCTTAGTGCTGCATTCGACACGGTCGACCATGACATACTACTAGAAAGACTAAAAATCTGGGTGGGACTCTCTGGCACAGCACTCAACTGGTTTGAATCCTACTTGAAGGACCGATAATACTGTGTCTGTAGCTAATTACACATCAGAGCTGACTAAAACGGCATGTGGTGTTCCCCAAGGTTCAATATTGGGGCCTCTTCTGTTCAACATCTACATGCTTCCACTATCTCAGATTATGGAAAACAACAAAGTGTGTTATCATAATTATGCAGACAACACACAAATCTACATAACTATGTCACCAGGGGACTACAATCCCATACAAGGGCTGGGTAAATGTATTGAACAACTCAACAACTGGATGTGCCAGAATTTTCTTCAATTAAACAAAGATAAAACAGAAGTAATTGTTTTTGGTACCAAGGATGAACGAATGCAAGTCAGCACTCAGCTTCAATCACTGATGTTAAAAAACACAAACCAAGCCAGAAATCTAGGTGTAGTTATGGATTCAGACCTCAACCTGAACAGCCATATCAAGACAATTACAAAATCAGTCTACTATCACCTGAAGAATATATCAAGGATTAGAGGACATATGTCTCAACAGGATTTGACAAAAACTTGTCCATGCATTTATCTTCAGCAGACTGGACTACTGTAACGGTGTGTTTACAGGTCTCTGTAAAAAGTCAGTCAGAAAGCTGCAGCTGATTCAGAACGCTGCAGCTCGAGTCCTCACTCAGACCAGGAGGGTGGATCACATCACTCCAGTTCTGAGGTCTTTGCACTGGCTTCCTGTCAAACAAAGAATTGACTTTAAAATCCTGCTGTTGGTTTATAAAGCACTGAATGGTTTAGGGCCAAAATACATCCCTGATCTGCTTCTACCTTATGAACCATCCCGACCCCTTAGGTCATCTGGGACCGGTCTACTTTCTGTTCCCAGAGTCAGAACTAAACACGGAGAAGCAGCGTTCAGTTTTTCTGCTCCACATATCTGGAACAAAGTCCCAGAAAGCTGCAGGTCTGCTGAGACCCTCAGCTCCTTTAAACCAAGATTGAAGACTTTTCTGTTTGCTGCTGCCTTTAATTGAACCAGATTCAAAGATATTAATAAATTTCCTGCATTTCTGCATTTTACTACTGTATTTTATTTCTTACACTGCTTTTAAGTGTTTTAATGACTGTTTTTTGTTGTTTCAATGAATGTTATTAATTGTTTTTAAATCTCCTTTTCGTTTGTCTTATGATTTGATGCTTTTAATGGTTTTATGTGAAGCACTTTGAATTGCCCTGTTGTTGAAATGTGCTATACAAATACACTTGCCTTGCCTTGCCTTTTGTGGTTATTGTGTTTGAGCCTGACCATTGTATTACACACATGTTCTTTTATTTATACCACCTGAAGATGCTTTGTCAACCTTGGCTTATAGGCTTAAAACTCATCTATCTTTGATGCAGAGACAGAATCAAACTGAAAATGTCAGATTCAAAGTTTTTTTCTTGACAAAGTGCCTCCAGTCCTCCCAACCTATTCACCCAAATTTCACCGCAACAAAATCTTCCTTTTCTCCGTTTCCTTTTCCCAAGACACCATGTTTACAACCCCGAGTGGCAGTAATTTATTCATTCAGAGAGAATTCAGATGATGTTGATGACAAAGCTTGCAGCGTCCCCTCCCTTTGGTGCTGAACTGCATGTCCCACCACTGAATCCTATTTTAGTTGGACTATGACAGATGCGAAACACAATTGAAATGCCAGTTTCGACTGCCACTGTGATTTTAATTGAAGCCGACACATACAAGCTTCTCATGCGCCTAAATTCATGTGAGTATACAAGCATGCTACACTGATAGCATGTGTAATGAAAAAATACAATTAGTCTTTCAATACCTGTAATTATTCTTCAAAAGATTTTAATGCATCCAAGCTGAGAGAATTACTTCCCAGAGTGTTCAATCTCCATAATACACTTCTAAGGCAAAACAATACAGCTGCAGGAAGATAGAAGGGAAGTCAGTGAATGCTAAAACTGAGCTC